CCCCCCCAGAGTTACATAAGCAGTACCCAGTTGCTGGCGAGAGGGAACTCCGCTCTGCTGAGCTGCTGGCTCGTTGTCCTGGGAGCACCGTGGATGCCGATTTTGTGAATGCCACTTGTGCTGGGGTAGGCTGGCTGTTGATCAGCTGCCTCTGGCCACCCACGCTCTAGTAAATAATCCCTCATTCATCCCCCGTAGCTAACTCCCCAAAACTCACTGAGAGCGACTTCTATGTCCTTGGTGCCCTACCTGGGGTGAAGAGACTTGTATTTGTGTCTAGAGAAAACTCACATAACAGTTTTCTTTGGCCACTTCTTTGACACCCCCACTGCTCTTCCAGACCCACTGTAGGTGGAAGCCAAAGGGCACAGCTTCCAAATGCTAGTTTGTGTTCCCTGCCAGAAAGTAGGCACCTGTGATAAGAACATTCCTTATCTCTGAATCCAGCATGCCAGCGAGACCACACCCATCAATACCTCTCAAAGAACAAATAGAAGGCCAGCAGATTTAATGCAGCAAAGGATAATGCCATGTGCTTCCTACTAGCCTGTATTTATAAGGGAAGAGCCACAGAAACACACCATGGCCCTCCATGGGTGGCACATGCCAGGCTCCGACTTCCAGGCCAGGAGCATGTCATGGCATTGGCTACAGGCCAGGTCCAGCAGCCCACCTGTTGCTGGCAGAAACCCAGCACACCAGTAGGTAGGACTGATGGTGCCTTAGTATCTGCAGTGGCTAGCTACCTAAAGAAACGTGAAGTGCGGCCATGTCACAAACATGGAGCCCACAGATGTGCAGTCCACAGGGAAGGACAACATCAGGCCACAAAGTCCAGCAGTATCACAGAACTAGGCACCAGAGACGAGGGGATGGCAAGCCTGAAGCCAAAAGCGTGACCCAGGACCTAGCCATTCAGCAGGTCATGGCAGAGTCCTGGCAAGGAGAGGGGTCACCTAAGGCCAACAGGCATGGTGAGGGCAGGTGGCATCTATCTCAGGAAGTGCTGGTCCTGCTCCGGCTTTTCCATGGGTGCTGTGCTGCTCACACCCCGTCCTCAGCACCCAGGAGGCTCACACGTTCTCATAACCTTCACAATAATGAACACTTACAAACACACACACACAGTGACTACCTTTTGAGGAGCATGCAACAATGCCCAGGGGTCACATGCCACCTACCTGCCCTATCCTAACTGTGAAATGTGGTGGTCACCTCTTCCCAGGGCCAGAGGACAAGGAACAGCAAGTTCCAGGCAGTGGACCAAACCCAGCCCCCAGCCATTTCTGCACTATCCACAGCCAAAGGACTTTACACCTATTTTATTTTTGTGATGGCTTCTTACTTACCTCAGGCTGGCCTTGACTTTGCTAAGTGGCTAAGGCTAGTTGTGAACTCCTGATCCTCCTGCCTCTACCTCGGAAGGCCTGAGGCTAAAGGTGTGAAGCACCACACCCTACTCAGGAGCTTAAAAAAATGTTACTTACTTACTATTCTGAGACAGAGTCTCCCTATGCAGCTCCAGCTGTCCTGGAATACACTCTGTAGACCAGTCTGGCCTTGAACTCACAGAGATCCACCTGCCTTTGCCTCCTGAGTGCTGTACCATTAAAGGCATGTATCATCATGCCCGGTGGAGCTTCACATTTTTAATTGCTTAAAAATAAATTTTAAAATTAGTATTTTGCAATTTGTAAGAACTTTAGGCAATGCCTAGCTGGACTCTTACAGGTAGGCCCAATCACCTATGTGTTTCCTCAGCTCGTGGGAGCCACAGTGCAAGAAGCTGAATGCCTGGGGCCGAGGCTTCCAGCCTGCAAAGCCTGCCCGGTGTTAATGTGGTGGGAGCTTTATCGGGTGGCCTGTTAGTTTTTCTTGCAAATCAGTCAAAGAGCCGTCACCCACCAGCACAGTCTGCCTTCTCTCAGGACATACTGTCTCAGGCTAGTGACCACCCAAAATTCTAGCCACCTGCTCTAGGGGCTGAGTACGTCGTTCAACCTCCCTGGCTCTGCCATGCCTCCTTCCCAAGGCTGTGACAGTCCAAAGGCCAGCTCATCTGGACCAGGATGACCAGAGGCTGCCAAACAGGGAGAGAGCGTCCTAGCCACAGAGAAGCTACGGAGTACGACAACCGCCAGGGTCTGCCCCCGAGAGCACACTACCTTCTTGGAGGACAGCAGCAGGGTCTGGACCGGCTCAGAGTCCTGGAAGAGCTGGGTCTCCTCCACGACATGAACTTCCTTCCCAAGGATGACAGCTTTATGCAGGGCCCCCCGGTCTGCAGGGTCAAAAGCTCAGGTTAGCACAAAGGCCCCAGAGGGACGCACCGAGGATGCCACGCTGGCTCACGTTAGGTATCAACTTAGTGCAGCTCCGAATCGGCTGGTCTGGCCTGCAGCACTGTCTGTGGAGGGGCTGTCTTGACTGTTTTCTGATGGGGGAAGACTGAAGGCGCTATGGAAGGCACCATCCCCTGGACAGGCAGTCCTGGTGTGCGTAAGTGAAGAGAGCTGGCTGGCTACTCTCGGGAAACTCAGCAAGCAGCCCAGCCAGCAGGCAGCATGGGTACGTGCATTGCTCTCTGCTCTCCACTGTAAATGTGATGTGACTAGTCGTTCAAGCTCTTGCCCCGGCTTCCCGAAAGTGACGGACCATAAGCCACAACACAAGCTCGAGAATCTTCCTAAGACCCACAGGGCAGGACCGAGCTGGCTCCTCCCAGAAGAGGGCACGGTCTCCCACCACCAATCAGGAAATACCAGCCAGCCCCACTGGTCCCAAGACACCAGGGGCTGCTTCCTTCCTTCAGCACCAACCCAGGGACCAGTCAGGACTTGTATTAGCAACCCACGCCCCAGGTGCCTGTGTGAGTCAGAGACTCAGAGGGGTGCAGGGATGGCTCAGCACTCCTCTCAGGTTGGCACAACCCTCTCTGTCACCTGGAGATGCCAGAGCTACCCACAAACAAGTAAACAAATTTCCCAGTCTTCCCAAGGCGCCCACCTGTGCTGATGAACATGACGTCGTAAAAGGTCCCCTCCAGAGCCTGGACCCTGTCCACCACTATCTGGGTGTAGTTTACATCTTTTTTGATCAGCTTGGGCCTGTTGTCTATAGGGGTCACGGAGTCGTCCATCAGAGGGTGGTCTTTTACAAACTGCAGCGTTTTGTCTGGGAGATTCAAGGAGCTGGTGTAGTTGGCTGCCCGAGCCTCACTGTCGATGCACTGTGGGGCAAGAGCACCGTGGTCATGCGCACGCCTGCGTAGCTCCAACCCAGCACAGAAGAGAGGCCCTACAGGGTCAGTCACACTTCTCTAAGAGGAACAGGACTGAGGTGGCCTCCCCAGGGACAAGGAGCCGTGGTTTTAAAGCACAGTCACATGGCACAATTGTCTTAGGACCCAGGAGAGGAATAAGTTGTCAATGAAAACACTCAGCAAACTTCTCAAATTAAAGAACACAGCTTTCCTATAAGAAAGCACGCTAAACACTGTTTAATACACACACACACACAGCCAAATTCTAAGTAATACAAAACATAAAAGAAGGTTGGAGAGATTTTTTTTTTTTTTTTTTTTTGGGCCCACCTCCCTACTGAACATAGAATAACCAGGTGTCAGGGCCAGACACCTACAGAGACATTGGTCCTGGGGAGAGCTTCCAGAGCCAGAGCCACACACCCATTCACCACATGACAGCAACGTGCAGGCAACCCTAGAATTTCCTGTACTAATTTACTAAATTTATTAAGGTGACTCCCATTGCCTGGCGGACAGGCTGCCCCAGGAGACAGCCTAGGCTACGCTGACAAACGGGCTTTCTCTGGAGGAAACAGGTAATGGAGCAAGCCTGCCATTGCACAGTGCCAGTTTCTCTAGAGAGCCCAGTGGTACACTCTCCCTGGGCAGTGTGTAAGGAGACCTGTTACCCAACACACACAAGAGACCAGGAAAAGAACAAGCTTTGCTCTCCTCCCCAGGCCCAGCAGCCACTCAGCCCAGTGCCGAGACTCCTGTGCCCATGCAACCTGTTCAAGGGAGCTCTGGATCTCTGTGGTCTCATGTGTGGGGCCTGGAGACCCACAGGGAAGATGACCCCCCTGGAAGGTTCGACCCCACTTACCGCTCCAGGCCGGGGCGTGGGCACCAGGCCATTGTAGCGCACCCACTTGGTGTGAGACTGTTCCACTGTGGCGCTCTGCATGTATTTGCCCCGGGAGAAGACTGCCTCCACCGTGGCCAGCGTGTAGGCACAAACTGCTGATAGACCCACATTGTTCCTGCGGAGGGGAGTCCACAAGAGCGTCAGGAAGGCAGTGGGTCACCGGGGCGGGCGGGCCCCAACTGCCAAGGGAACTAACTCACAGCTGTGGGGTGAAGACTGCATAGAACACAGGCTCCCTGAGGCCCGGGGCCCTCAGCACGAAGACATCCTGAAGCACGTTGAAGACCAGGCCGCTATCTGGCCTCGAGCAGATCAGCCTGGCCTTCAGGAAGGAGGTCCACTTCTTTTGCAAAGTCCGAAGGCCGCCCTGGTCCCCCTGGAATGCCAGAGACAGCATACGGTAGGGGCAGCAACCAGAGAAGCAGGCAGTCCATATGCCCCCAGCCACCAGGCCAGCCCACGATGGCTGCAGACTCCTATAGCCACGGGGGTTGGGATCACAGAATACGAAAGGAGCCAGGCACATGCGTTGACAACCAAAACCACCACACCTGTGTCACCCTGGTGGGCCACTGGCCTTGCCTGCTGCAGCTTCTCCCAGCGGTGACCCGTGAAGGAGAACACAGGAGTTAGGGGAGTAACGGGTGGCTGCCTCCTCATCAGACCCCAGCCCTGCAGACCGGCTCCTTTCATTTCCTCTCTGCCTGCCCAATTCTAGATAACGTCTTAGGGCCCTTTAATCATGCTCAGTGAGCCAACCACTGAGACAACCACGGGCTGCACACACTCTGGGCTGGAGAGAAGGACAGCCAGCCCCCGTGGGAGTGAGGTCTGGTTTCCTGCGGGTCCAGTTACCTGTGATTAGTCACACACTGAAAACATTAGTGCTCGCTCTGACTCTTTCTTCCCCTTCCTTTTCTTCCTTTTATGTGGCTGTGTGTGCATGGTGTGCCTCTGTATGGGTGTTCACAGGCAGCTGCACTTCGAGGCCAAAAAGTCAATGTTAGGAACCTTCCACTGTATTCTTTGAGGCCAGGGCTCATAATCAAACTCAGAGCTTGCTGATGAGGACAGTCCTATCAGCAGGCTTGCCCCAGGGAGCCCCTATCTCCGCTTTTCTATGTAGAATTACAGGGGGTCTACTCAGCATTTAAAGGCTAGGAGATCCGACCTCGTGTCCCTTTGTTTTCAGGGCAAGCGTTTTAACCACTAAGCCAGCTCCCCGATCCTCCTTGGAGCCTCAAGAAAAACCCTTCCCACATCTCTGTAAGTTCCATCACCAGTCACTGTGCAGCCTCTTAGTGTCCTCAGCTGCCTATCAAACTTTACCAAATATTGCTGCAATTCCAGAGCTTGGAAGCCTGGAGCAGCAGTATCTGTGCCAGGACCCTGGGTGGGATGGGGGGCGGGGTGCAGGACTCACCTTGCACACCCTGGCCACTCGTGGGATCATTAACTTGAAGACAAACTCGTACTCCACGGACACCTCCGTGAAGAAGAAGTACACCTTGTCGTCCTCACCCTCCGCACCATCTGGGCTTTTCTGGATCACGTCGGCAAAGACGAAACTAGGCTCTGTGGAGCGGCGTCACAGGGTCGTTTCTGAACACGAAGCCACCATGCCACCTCTGCCTGCTCCCTATTGTGCCACAGGCGGGCTAGTGCCTTGACCCTGGAAGCTTCCCTCCCAGGACATCTACGGTGTGCACATGTCCCACTTGTCAACCAGGATGGCGCCTGCCACCCTCCTTTGCCTCACTGAGGCAGCACCAATGGTGTACAGAGGAAGCCAGGTGGGGCCTCCCTGCTGGCACGTGGTCTACAGAGCCAGAGTATCTGCTGACTTAAACGAGGGCCAAATCGGCCACTATCAGCCACCGAAAGGATTCCAAGACTCAGACTCCTGGGGAGGCCCAAGGAGAAACAGGCTGTCTGGTATCTTAGACCCCAGGGTCTGACTGCAGATCAAGGGGCCTCAAAAAAGCCCAGAATCTCACTGGCCAGCATCCCTAAGACATCCGCAAGCAGCTCCCCATCACCCGAACCCTGAGGTCAGACAGCAGACATGCTTGCTTGGCAGTAAACTGACCAGACCCCAAAGATCAATTCCCAAACACCATGTCTGCATTCCCAACTTCCCATCAGAGCTTTATTTTATTAAAGTCTCCCAAATTGGTTGTGTGTGTGTGTGTGTAACGGGGTGGAGGTGCGTGTGGCATGACAGAAGCAGATTTAAACAATGCTGTTAGAGCGCAGTTCCAAAGAGTTTGGATGTAACATGAGCCCCAGTGCCCCATGGTTTGGGGACAGCCAGAGGAAAAACAAAATGGCACAGCCATGCGGCTGGCAGCACGCACTTCTTACCATTCAGCCATGGGATGGCATACTCCGTCCTCAGGGGACTGTGGGAAGAGTTTCGAGAGATGATGGGTTCGCTGCCCAAGAAATTATACGATGTCCCAGAGTACAGCTCTCCCCCTGCAGTGGTGGAAAGGGAGCAGAGAAGGAGACCCGGTTAGCACTCTGCCTCTGATGGAGGCTGGGCACAGCTGTTCTCAACACTAGCCCAGGATGGCCCATAAGCAAGCCTCATGCTTCCACCTCCAGCAGACGATCATAATCTATTTATGCCCTCATTAATTTCTTGTAGAAAGAGGGGCCTCCCTGTCTTCTGTGATATGTATTTCTGCTTCCTACATCAACCACCTTTCTTCTATCAGGCCAATCACAGTTACCAAATTTAATGGTGTTTTTCCAGGTTAAAGGGTAATAGCTAACCCCAAATGAAAATATCCCACAGCCAGTGACAGACAGGCACCCCTCAGTGTTCGACAACCTGAAAACCATCTTAAGCAGAAAGCACTGTAAGTCAAAAAAGATGCTGAGGTGCCTACCCTGCCAGGCAGCCTGGCTCAGCCTCACCTACTTTAAATACACTCAGAAGACATACTTTAGCCTCCGACCCTGCAGGAGCATCTATATTCAGTGTAGTACTGGATAGCTCACAAAGTCCACCCGACACCATATACTGACCGTGCAGACGGAGCCTGCATGCTGGCTGAGAGGCCCCAGGGTGAGCTCTCTGAACAACAGCCCACGCCCACTTGCCTCGGCTACGCAAGAGCAGAGCAGGAGGCACACAGGCCCAGGAGCAGCCACACAGCGTGCACAGAGACTGACAGACAGAAGTGTGTGTGCTGCAGGAGGGCCCGGGCGTCCCTCTGAATGATGAACTCAAAAGGAAGCCAAGGAAGGCGGGACTGAGGAGGGAGGTGCTGAGTATCCCAGGTGTAAACATGGCATGCCACCGTAAACTCGGAGAGTGAAGGAGCCCCAGACGCAGGACTCACCAACCATGACTGATGTGTAGCTGTGGGCGGGGTCGAAGGGGCATCTTCCTTTGCCGTCTTCATTTTTCCCCAGAAACTTGAAGGACGTCAAGTTCTACAGTGAAAAGAAAAAGAAAACACCTGACTTTGCGCCACCATTTAAAGGTACAGATTCCTTCATTTGAGGAGACCAAGAGTTTGGAGCAAGTGGGCCCTGCCCCACGTGGGTCCCGCCCTGGGAGCAATGACGCCTGACATATATCTCAGGTGTATGACAGAGTCTGGGATGTGCAGGGTCACAGAGGCTCAGGTTGCTCAGCCACACCACCCAAGAAACAGGCAACGCAAACCAAACAAAAACAAGCCACAGAATCTTTACTGCTGCTCATGCGCCACCAGCAGCTCCAAGAGCCATTTTGACCGCTAAACGGAGCTCACCACAACACAGGCAATGTGTGGACAGGCTGCGCCTGGCTCTAACCCGCCCCATACTGTGTAAAACAGTCGTCCCTAGGCTGTGCCTCATCCTCGGAGATTTCACTTTACAGGCAGTTTTTGATTCCACGGTAGGGAAAAAGACCTGCTTGGGTCTGCAAACCACAGCGTCTGCCACGAACTGACCCACCCAGAACGGATGGAGAAACTACTTATTTCTGGGAAAAGAAAGGGGAGCCACCCCACAAATTCATCAAAGTTGAATGTCAGGGCACTTGGTTGTATTAAAAATGCTGGGGAAACCAGGTCCAAGAATTAACAGGCCGAGGAGAAAGTAGGTGTACCTTCCTCACCTGCCCCCCATAAAGTGATGGGCTGATAGTGTGATGGATGGCCCCATACCAAACATCTTCTCAACTGATAGCTGGTGTGTGCATCAAGGACAGCCTTCGACCTTGGAGCTGGTCTCTAAAGCTTTGCTTTCAAACCCTTGACTGCAGCTGCTCCCTCCCAGCACTGGTCTGGTTTGAAATCATCAGACTCTCTGAGCCCAGGTCTGAAACCTCAGCTTCTTTAACCTGTATTCATTCTATAACCATACACATGGCATACACATACATTTGCTGTGTGACGTGACGGTTAACATTACTAAGATTCAAATAAGCAGGGAACGGTAGTGCACGCCTTTCATCTTAGCACTTGGGAAGCAGAGGCAAACGGATCTCTGAGTTTGAGGCCAGCCTGGTCTACACAGAGAAATCCAGTCTCAACAAACAAAAGATTAGAAGAAAAGAGTCTGCATTTGCCTCAGCCGGATCACCAAGGTAGGCAAGCTTATATCATAAACTGATGATACTAAAACTGCTAACTTTTGTGAATTCAGTGTTCCTGAATAAACTCTGGCATTATGGGAAGACACAAATATGTTCGGTGTCCACGTGCTTGGCATCGTGTGCTCACGAGAGTCAGTAGGTAACAGTCTTGGGATAACCTCTTTGTACCAGACAAGAAAACCTATTTCGTATGTCTTCGCTTTGCTGTAATGAACACCATGAACGAAAGTACCCTGGGGAGGAAAGCACAGTTTACAGACTGCCAATCGGGCGTCAGGCAGGAAATCAGGGCAGCGATCTGGAGGCAGGGACTGAAGCAGAGGCCAGCAGAGGCCACGGAGGAGTGCTGCATACCGACTTGCTCCTCATGGATTGCTCAGCCTGCTATCTTACACGCCCACAGTGGGCTGGGTCCTCCCACAGTAATATGAAAACGCCCTAGCAGCTTTTCTGCAGACCAGTCTCACACAGGCATTTTCCAAACTGTGGTTCCCTCTTCCCAGATAACGCCAGCCTCTGCCAAACTGACAAAAATCAAACAGACAACAGGACACCATACAAGGAGAAAAAGAGATATATACAAACACTAATATATGATGAATCAGAATGTTCTCATACAGGGAAAAAAACGAGACAATTAGACGGCAGGTGACAAACTGGGGGAAATGCCCACAAAATGATGATGAAGAATTTCCACCGCTGAATATGCACGAGGCGTGCAGACAGAAACAGAAGAGTAGCAGATGACAAACACAGGCCGAAGTGTTAAAGAGACAGGAGCCACCCACAGGGCAGCCTGCCAGAACTCCAGGAGTGCAGAGTGGAGAGGTTGAGGGGCAAGGCTGCCCACCACACTCGGGAGCTACCAGTCCTGCCAGAGACGGCTGGCTGGAAGCCACAGGCCAGTTAAAACAATAAAGGTCACCGGTCAGGGGAGGAAGTGTGAGCTGGGGTGAGTGTGGCCCCCTTGATAAGACCCATCTGTCATCACACCTCACATGGAGGCCTGGAAGCTGCCGGGGCTGGGTCCTGCTCTACGCTACTGCGACTGGGAGGAGAGATGGAGGATCCTGGCAATCGCTTTAACTGTGATGATGAAATCAGTTGTGCAGAAAAGGGCTCCATTCTTAAAAGACACTTGCAAAGGCCTCTGGGAACCATAGGCCACACTTTACCACATAATTACAAACACACACGCCTACACACATACACAAGTGACACATATAATCCACCATGTGGTCCAGACGCACAAATGTACTCAGAATTTCCTACTGTGGTTTTAAACCAAGCACTCTCTCTCCTATCTCACACCCAGGTACTGCTTTGGAGTGTAAACTCCAACAATAGTCTCAAAGCCCTCAACTGGACCAGCGAGGATTTAGTCAGGGGGTGCTGACGTGGAAACGCCTCTTGCATAACCACTATCTTCATTTCCTCATTTCTTCCTTCTCTGTTTGCTTTCCTTGTTTTCCACTTAAGATGTCTAACTTTGTGGACCAAGGGTCTTTATATCCCACAACCTTCCCTTCCCCAACACACACACACACACACACACACACGCACACACACACACACGCACACACACACACACGCACACACACGCACACAGTAGCAATTTCAGTTGCATCAGAGAATACAGTTAGCCAGGAAAACCTGTGCAGTGGCTCTCTCCCTAGACATATATATAAATATTTGGTTTCTTAATTTTCTCGTTTTTGTTTTCCTTTTGAGAGAATCTTTTGTGCTGTATCTTATAATGTAATAACCCATGTTGACCTCATCCTCAGGAGCCTCCCAAAAGTGCTGGGGATTTCTGGTTTGCCTCACTACATCCAGCTGCCTACATGATTTTCTAATTCTGTGTTTTGTCTAGTTATATCCCCAACTCAGTTTTGTGTGTGTGTGTGTGTGTGTGTGTGTGTGTGAGAGAGAGAGAGAGAGAGAGAGAGAGAGAGAGAGAGAGAGAGAGAGTTCTATGTGTATGGTGTATATTCATGTGGTAGGTATTTCTGTACGTGTGGTACTGGGGATCAAAACCCAACATCAAGTGAATGCTAGGCAAGCCTCTAACTGAACTGTAACCGGAAGCAGGTTTTAAATTTCAGTTAATTGAGGGTTTAGGTGAATGAAACGTTTCATCTTGGGAGTCTTGCCCCATCTGTGGTTCCAGTCACCTGCAGCCAACTACAGCAGAGCAATGAACTACGTTCCCTGCCTCCCTGCCCTACACTGTCACTCACCCATGCTCAGCAGACACACGGTACATACTACCCTTCCTTGGATACTGAGCCTCACGGTCCTCACATACACAACGTAAGGTTTGCTAAGAGCCGAGGTTTTGGTACCCGGTGGAGATCTGGGATCTACGCGCAGCAGAGAAGAGGGGAAAGCATGGAGCATGTTTCAGATTTGTCAGTTTATTTGTAGAATGGCTCTCCGTGGGCTGGTGGGTTTGCCTCCAGGTGGTGCCGTTTGGTGGAGGGTATAAAGGTGAGACCAGGGGAAGTGGTTTCGGGGGTGGGGTTGCCTTCATGTTTATAGGACAGCCCTGTTTCTTGGCCCTGCTCTGCCTTCTGCTGGGCTGAGGCACCTGCTCTACTCTTTTCTCCCTTAACTTGCTTTTTGTCAAGAATTTGGTCCCAGCAAGGACAAGAGTGAGTAACTTGTAATATACAGCATGTGCTGAACTTTCATGCGCTGAGCTCAAGGAGGAGCTGGCTCTGAAGCAGAGCCGCCCCTCCCCCACTTCAGACCCAAGCATGTTTTTCAGTGTCCTCTAAGGCGCCTTGTTAGGGGATGAGCTGCCCTCTAATTCTGTGAGAGGGAGGAGAGACCAGCAAAGAATCCAAGGGTAAAAGCACTGCCCTTGAGAGCAGCTAGAAGGTGAATCATTTGCAAAATGGGTTACTAGTATTTAACTCGTGATATAAAAGTGCCTATGGGGAGCAGGGGGGGAGCCAAAAGCTCAGCCCATGGGAAGCCCAGCATTGGAGAGAGACTCCAGCTAACTGCCTCAACTTCCCCTGTCAGTTCCTGAGGGATGTCTGATGTTATTTCCCTGTTGCTGCTTGCTCTTTTATTTAGAAGTCTCACCTACACAGACACTCTCCTCCATCCAGGACTCTGCTGGGAACCAATTTGGTGTTTTGCCCTCTATCCATCTTTTGGTATTTACTTTTTCATAAAGTATGGCCCCTGCAGATTACTCTCTGCCCATCACAGAACACTGGTCAAGAGGGACAGGGCTGCTGTCGCACAGTTCTTAGTCCTTACAGTCTGCAGAAAGCACGGGGAGAGTCTGGCTCTGCTGTAATTCTCAGCCAGGCTGGGACATGAGCACTGATAAAAGGGATACATTGTAGCCTTACCAGGTGGTCACAAGTGGGCTGGAACGCATTGGTCCCGCACACATAGAGGGAGGTGGAGCTGAGAGGCTGCAGCACTCGGATGTAGTTGAGGCATTCCGTCTGCAAGGGAAACACACACACACATTCTATCAAAGGCATCCACAGGAATCTTTCCTGTCCACAGGCTAAAGGACAGCAATCCTCCGCCCTGCTCTCTCCTCTGCTCAGGCTAGTCTGTCTGTGCCCCCAGATGGGGCACACAGCATGGTGACAAGCTCTGCAATGTGAACTTTACTTATCTCTGTGCTCCACAGGCAGTTCAGGTGCCAGGCACGAAGTTAGCTCTGTCCCTAACAGATGCTCGGCCTGTGTCTGGTGACCAAGGCCAACCAAGAGCTGACCTCAAATTGTACTAGGGGACCCACTACAGACAGCAATATATTTACCCTTGCTAAACACACACCATTTGCTTTGGCGCCTGTGTCGCCAGAGCAGACACTTTACAAACTCACACTTTCCTGGGAGCCCCACCCTACACAGCAGCCAGCACAGAACTGGAAATAGCGATAGTAGAGTCTGAGAGAGAGTCTGGACCAAAGGGCATATCCAGCTGTCCATCCCTGAGGACCCAGTAGGAAAACAAGACGGCCTTTTGGAACCTATGTGCTTATTTAGGAGAACAGTGCTTAGATTATATGGGCTATACCCTGACATTATCTCAAATCAGAAAAGTTTTTTGTTTTTTTTTCAACAACTGTTTTCAAATGGATGGGGTGTCATTCACAGGAGGGCTCCCTACCAAGTTCACTCTGGGTGCCCATGTGTGGCAGTGCGAGGCATCAGCTCGCTCAGCTACACAGTTTGCCAGCGGCACAGTGAACCCATCACAATGCCTGCCAGCCTAGCCTGCCTGCCTGCCTGGCCCTCGGTTCCTGACTTAACACCGAAGTTAGAGACCAGTAGGACATTAAAAGCATTTAACCAAGTTTAAAACAAACAAACAAACAAAAAATCGTGGGTTACTTTTTAATCTTTTGTTTTGAAAAGACAACTAATAACTCTGCCATCACTCAGCCATCACGACCACTATCAAGGACAACCTGGCTCTTGTGGTCTGAAAACATCCGTGAGGCACCAAGGGGCACACTGAGGATACCCAGAGCTCCTGAGGAAAGAGTTACAAGGACCAGTAACCCTGAGCGAGCACCACACTGATATATAAAGACAAAATCAAACAAACAAACAAACAACAAAAATAAATAAATAAAACCAAAACAAAAGCTAACCAAATCCCTGTGACCTCTCACTCCTCAGCCATAGGGGAAGCGCAGGAATACAGTAAGGTGGCCAGTTACGCCAGGCACCAAAGGCAGCAGAAACTATTTTCTGTAGTCACAATGCCAGGCTATTTGAGTAAGCTTCTCCAGGGCTGAGGGCATGAGTACCAGCCCTGAGGCCACCAATCCTGATGCCAGGGTGTAGCCAGAGCTGCCATGTGTGTCGACACAGCGGGACTGAGTCCAGCAGAATTACATGGTGCCCGGTGGGCATGCAGAAAGAAGCTCTGGTACTTGAGAAGACCCAAATAACTCAGAAATGCCAGTGCAGGTTCTCTGTAACGTGTGGTCAGATTACCTGCTTTGATTTCCCCTTCTCTGCGCACTTCGCTTTTTTGTCCTCAGAGACCTTCCAGTACACCTGTGAGGAAAGGGGAATGTATGAGAGCCCAGTTCCCTGGAGCCCCCCCTTGAAAAGGAGCTGGGATAAACAGACACCAAAGAAGGCACACAGCACAGCTCAGAGCAGAGGCCTGCAGCCAGGGTAAAGTCAGCCCGGGGAGAGGCTCAGGAAGCAGGCAGGTGCTGAGAGCCAGGAGCCATCATCCCAAAGCCGGCAGGCACAGCACAGGCCTGGACGTGCTACAGAAGAACAGCAGAGGGCTGGGGAGATGGCTCGGTGGGTAAAGGGCCTGCCACTGAGCATGAAGACCTGAATTCAACCCCCGGAATTCATAGGAAAAGGCCGGGGGTGGCCCTGTGCACTCTGAATCTCAGCACTGGGGAGGCAGAGACGGGAGGGTCTGTGTGACTTGCAGGCTGCCAGCCTATCTGACAAGCTCCAGGCCAGACCATGTTATCAAAAATAAAAAGTGGACAGCACCCAAGGAAAGACATCCAAGGTTGTCCTATGACACCCCCCCAACACACGAATAATGCAAGTGTAATCAATTTAATTATATCCAAAAGCAGGGGCTCTGAGCTGTTATTTTTTTAACCTTTGTTATTACGTTTATTATATGTATATGTATGACAGTGCACGAGTGGAGGTCAGAGGGCAACTTGTGGGAGTTGGTTCTCTCTTCCGCATGTGTTGGGATGAGCGGGGCTGGGGGTGGGGTGGCGGGCTGAACGCATCAGGCTGGGCAACAGGTGCACTGATCTGCTGAGCCATCTCTTCAGACCCTTCTCAACCTAACTTTTTTCCTCTGACAGTTTTATACATGCATATAGTGATTTCAGTCATTTCAGCCTCTGGCACTCTCTCATCCTTTCCAACGTGACCACAGAGTACACAGATCAGACATAGAAACAGCCTCGAGTTTTCTTGGGTGAGCTTGCCGGTGGCATCCTGAGCCAGGCCTATGTAGAAGTAGGAGCAGAAGGGAGCCCCACTCTGAGGGGCGGGAGACAGGAGGGCCTACCTCCTGTTGCTTCTCCGAGACGTCCAGGGCATTCAGTGCAAAGACAGCTTCCCGGGCGCCCACATACAGAGTGTCTTTGTCCTCACTCATCAGCAGGGCCGAGTAGTTGAAGATGCCTGGCTCGTGAAACTGCAGCAGACCCACCTCTGTGGGTAGCAGAGGATGGAAGGAAAAGAAGAGCCAGGCAGTCACAGCTCAGCCTATGTATACCACCCCAGTGCCACCTCGGGGTCAGCGGCAGGCCTGCCACAAGGACCAACTGTGCCATGCTGCTCCGGCATGGAGCAGAACTCGGGACCCCTAGAAAACCTCAATGCATCCACCAAGTGCAAGAGAGGGGCTGGTCCACAGCTGGAGCCCTGGGGCTGGCCTCCATCCCTAGGCTAACCCCCTGGCCTCCTCTTCTGTCTGCTAGGTCCTGTTGAGTCCCAGACCTCCCACACTGGTGCTTCTAGCACATCACAGACCAGACCCTTGGTCTACACTCTCCCTCTTTAGTGTGTCTTCAACCATCCACTTAGGCTTAGAAAGAATGTGACGGTTTAGAACTTTCTCACTCAGGAACTGAATGCCTTGTTTGAAACCCCCAACAACAAAAATTCAGTGTTTAGGGGCTGAGGTTGTAGCTCAGTGGTAGAGCAGTTGCCTAGGATACGCAGGGCCCATGCCCTTTCCCCAGGTCTCCCTTAAAAAGGGGGCAGGGGGACAAGATGGGCAGACACATCTCTCTCCTAAACAATTTCCAGTCATCGCCAGAGAGACGAGTAACGCTTGTTAATAACTTCCAGAGACAAGTGACACACTTTCGCACCCTCAGCAGTTGAGAACGTGGTAACACAGAAGGACATAAGCAGTCCTGGTTTTCTTGACAGGGTCTAAGTGGCCTGGGTAGGCCTGGGACTCAATCCTCCTGCCTCTGCCTCTTGAGTGTGGGGCTTCCACAGTGTACTGTGACACTGAGCTCAGCATGAGCTGGCATTGGTGAGTGCTCTGAGCGGGCCTGCAGTCCAGGAAGCTTCAGAGTTGGGCATTCTTCACAGCGTTCCCTCCCTGTGTGCAGTGCAGCCTGTGCGGCCCCGGCCTGGGAGTCTGACCTGGAGACCCGTCTAGCACGAAGCTAATCTCAGCAGTGCAGCTGAAGTGCCAGTGAGCTGCTGAGGTCACACAGGCAGTCGGACTAGAGCTTGGTACCCGAGGATGTAGCCACCAGGGCCTCCCACTCACACAGCATCCTTTGGACCTCCCGGTGGCTTAAGCCTGCCCTGACTGACCCTGCGAAGCATCTGAAGCATGGGTCCCCTGACCCCACAACGCTCTCCAGAGAAATTGGCGCTCACAACTTTAGAACTCACCTCCGTGCTCCCAGGTGATCCGAGGCACGGGTGCAAACGCTACCGCCGTCCTCAACACTACCATCAGGGCCAAGAACAGGCCCCGCACGGGGGCGCACATCCTCCTGGGCAGGGGCCGCTGGGGCCTTCAGCAGTGGACACACATGGATGGCAGCAAGGACCTCTCAGAGCCCCAGGGCTGGGGCCAGCAGCACAGAGCAGAGCCCATGAGTGGGGTTCCAGAGTTCCCGCATGTCCAGTCAGCAGTGGCCACTTTCACTGCCTCAAGCCAAAGGCTACCGATGCTCCTTTCCAACCTGCAAAGGAAGAAAAGAAGGCGGCCACTGGTCACAAGAGCTCCAATTGGTTCTCAGCCCCCTCCAACCTTTCTCGCCTCCTATCCTGCCTCCTGAGGGGCATGGAGGGCACCCAGGATTTGTGCGGCTGCCAGACAGAGAGACAACAAGGCTACAGCCCACCAAGATGGACTCACCAAGGTGGATCACGAAGTGACTAGCTAGAGGGGCAGACATGCCACAGACGAAAGGAACAAGCTGGCTTTCAGTTTCCCGGAGAGGCTCACTTCCCAATTTCTGACACGCTAACCCAGGAAGCTTAGCAGACACCAGATGGCTGCAGTGACAAGGTGCACGCCTGAGAATACATACAGAAGTGCACGTTCGTGGGCAGACACGCAGAAGTGCTTGCAGCCATAAATGTACACGGATACGCGCACACAGACGGTATGCAAACACACACACTCATACCCATGAAACGTGCCCTCAGGGCCTCGTCCTCAGGAGTGTCTGGCCACCACAGAGGACACAGCCAGCCTAGGAGGCAACCCGAGATCTTCCTGCCTCACCAGGAAGAGGTTAATTGCCATAGAAACAGTAGCAATTAACTCTCATTTGTCCAAACAAGAAACAGAAGGCCAGGCCTTGCTGTTTGATGAAATCCTCGTCAAAGCTCTCCTGAGCCTCTGACCCTGTCCTCAGCTGCCCCAGGCAAGCCTGAGGGCCAGCACACATCAGCACCCTTGTCATGAACCTAATGACCCTGGCCAGCGGAGCCGAGCGCTGTGCGACACCAGCTGCCCAGCTACACGTGCAGGCCTCACTTTTGGGTGTGGCCACTAGGAGATGAAGGGTTACAATATCCCCAGACATGGCCCCAATGCTGGCACAGCATCTAACCCCCTGCCAGAGCTCCCCTGTCCACAATTCCTCCCACAGAGGGTGGGGCCAGCTGCTCCTGCCTCTCCATCCAGCCCTCTCTCCTGTCCTTAAGAGCAGCCCAGACAGGCTGCCTGGTCTCTATCCCAATCCATTTAGAAGCTTCCTAATGCCAGGACAGCCTGAACCCCTCCTTACTCCAAGAATAGTCTAGCCTGGTGCAGCTGGCCTTTTTCCTCAACTGACTGTTGCCATAGCTGAAAAGCAGACATAGTCATGCGTAAGGGCAGTAGCTTTCCAGAACAAGGGTTAGCCTGGCCCCAGCCCCACCCTAGAGATTCACAAGGGGTGACTCCAACCCTCATCCAACCAGAGGAGCAGGAAGCCAAGGACCGAAGCAGTGGTTGAGAAATAGACATTGGTGACCCAGACAATTATGAACTCTGGGTTCTGCTAAACAAGTTCACTATGCACCCCGCCTTGCAAGAGCCCATTCTCCTGCCACAGTAAGGAATGGGGCACAGTAAGGAATGGGCTACAGCCCAGACCATGGGAATCCTCCTAAAGCCATGGCCACCAACTCCCTCCAGCACTGAGCATCACACTGCTGATGAAAGCCAGCAAAGCAATGCCACCCTGACCTCAAGCCCCTCTGGGTGCAGAGTGTCTGCAGCATGCTTGAGGTACAGTGGTACGGGTCTAAGCTCAGAAGACCCCGGGGTTTGAAGAAACTGGAGATGGCCAGGGCAAGGGAGCTGTGACCGGCAGGAGGCCCCGATTTGTGTGCACAAGGTTCCAGCTGTGAGGGTCCGGTGTGCACATAGTTCCAGCTGTTTGAGGGTCAGTTGGCACAGGATGGATGTGTCTTCTCTCCTCAGAGCTCCCCCACCCCCATTTGGAAGAAGGTCGTGCAGGTAGGGTCAACTGCCACTCTTCAGCTGCACACTGGGCCATGGTAGCATATCCTCATTACATTTCTGCTGTGGACCGGTCTCTTCCCCTGGGGCTCCGGTTGCTCCATTTTGAATGTGCTTGATAATAATTTATTCCCAGGCTACAGGAGAAAGCTGGTGCAGCGCCTTAGCTGTGCTGTCAGGGCCCAGGCTCTGAGGCTCCCTGCTCTGCAGTTCATAAAATGAGATCCTTATTTTGATGTTTGCAGAATGGCTGTTAGATCTGCAGACATCAAGCCTGGGTTTCAGGTGGCAACAGGAAGACGAGCTTAGGGTCAAAATGCTATTGGTAGCCAATTTCGTGGAATTGTTTCTAGTTCTTTCCACTGTCATTTCTTCAGCAGAACCCAGGCAGCTTATAAATGGTTTGACCTGGGCAGTCTGCCCACCTCAGAAAGCTCAGAATCCTGTTACCTAGAATGAGGCAGGAAGCCACAGAGAGGGGGGTGGAGGTGCAAGACAAGGGGCAGAGAACAGTAGCGGAAGCTTGTGCCCCAACACAGTGCCTGGAATGGAAATGCCAGGACTCAAGGCTAAAACAAATTTTAAGGAGAATACAAAAAAAAAAAAAAAAAAGAAGCTGAAATAACTGAAACTCTTCACTGCCCAGGGTCGTCTGGTTGGGGCTGCAGGTAGATGTAAATTGTATACAATGTATCAGCTCGGGCTGGAGAGATGGCTCAGCTGTTACCGGTGGTTGCTGCTGTTGTACTTGAAGAACCTGGGCTCCATTCACAACCCCCACAGGCAGCTCACAACGATCTGAAACTCCAGTTCCAGGGGTCCAGCAGCAGCAGCCATTCCTTGGCCAACGCTGACTAACTGTAAAGACTACAGGAACTGCGGGGTTCACCGGGGTCCTCAAACATCCCCACTCTGGGATGACCCTGATACTGCCTACAGAAGCAGAGAGCATACTCAGCCAGGCTAGGCCCCCGACCACAGCCGCATGCTCCTGCCCTGCAGGCCCAACCCCACCATCCAAAACGTAGGTACTTCATGGGAGGACACGAGGACAATGGCCTCGCCCAGACCCCGATGCTCTTTGAAACAAGCCCATGGGAACAGCCAGAGGCCTGGAGGGGAAGACAGAGCAGAGAAGTGGAGGGAAAAGGAAGGAGAAAGGCTGCTGGGTTTGACTTTTTATTTTCTTTCCTTTTCTTTTTCCTCTACACTACTTACTGTTTGGTGTAATTTAAAACTCACTTTAAACAAAGTGCCTGCCACACCCACACAGACTGCCACAGGGCCTTCCAGGAACGCCTCCACACTCATCCTTGAATGCCAAGTTCAAGACCTGGCTCTCTGTCTAAATTTAAACAGATGGATGTAACACCCTTTCCCCAGGGGAAGCTGAGGTCTCCCAAGTGACAGCTGAGGCCCTCCCGTTCATGTCGGTGACAGTGAACTGTCAATCTATGTATTCAGAAGGCCTGGCACCCCACTAGAGACAGGGTCACATAGGCCCCACGACTAAGAGAGAAGACCTGCCTATCCAAACCCAGGATAAGGAGCTGCAGCCCCTCCCTCCAGACTGCCTCGGCTGGCAGAGGGCAGCTCCACCTCCAGGGAACCTTGGAAATCTCAGCAGGGGCTAAACTGAAAACAGCACCCAGCCTAGCCAAGTTGTGAGCACCCAGCTCAGGCCTAAGAACACTCATGGCCTTGAGAGCACTGTGTGTGTGTGTGTGTGTGTGTGTGTGTGTGTGTGTGTGTGTGTCTCAGTGCATACACTGTGCAAGTGAACCTGTGTCAGCATGTCAAGCAGTGACCTGTGTTTACCCAGGCACCACACCCATGCACATGTATGTGTATAGATGCTGTATGTGATGCATATATACATACATGTATATATATATATATGCGCACACCTGAAAAGGCCAAGTTAAATGTGTATCTCTGTGTGTAACATGCACTCACATATCTATGTATCTGCAGATGTGTTCAAACACGTAAGTCTGTGTGTCTGTGTGTACATGCATCTGCAGATACGCTCCTATGCATGCATCTCTCTCTCTCTCTCTCTCTCTCTCTGTGTACCCTGCATCTTAAACATAAGGCTCCTCACTGGTACTGATCAGATCACGGGGGGGGGTACCACTAGGTGCTCCTGTGGGGACAAGATGCTACACAGACTTTCAAGCGCCCTCCTGGACACCACGGCAAACACAATAGGGGATCTTGGGTGGCTGTGGCAGGCAGACTGTCCCCTGGACTCCGGACTCCAGACCCCTAGGGATGCTAGCCTGCTCTGTCTACTTCCTACCTGTCCATCTGCTCAGACAGGAAGGTAAAACTCTGGCTGCTACAGGGAAGAGGATAGTCCACCACCCCTTCCCTGCCTCCGGGTGTGACCTGGCACCCCAGATAGTGCTGATGCCACCAGCTTGACCCCTGAGAGTTCCAGGAAGGGTCCAGGAGCTCCCGAGTGGCTCCCTAACATGGAGCCACTGTCCCAGCTTTGGTGTTCCCAGGCCTCGGGGCCTATCTCTGGAGCCAAGGTCTGCAGTTGGCAGGGACAGGCTCCACCGTGGTTACACTGGCAAAGCACAGCTAGTAGGAGCAGCTGGGTATTGCCATCTGGGTCAACATTCAATCTCAAGGCACTGCGCAGAGCAGGCGACACTCGCCTCAGATGGGCTCTTTCCCCAGCCCGCGGCCCCAGCCCGAGCATATGGGTAGGTGCCATGTTGGGCTGGAAGCCAGTGTGCAAGGCAGGGCATGGGAGTGGCAGCTACAGCGCCTACTGGACAGCACTGGTAACAGAGTGTGCTAAGGAGGCAGGTGGTGCCAGGAGTGAAGTGGGGTTCCACGGGGGACCAGTGCCACCAGCAGAGACCCGGGCAAAGGCATGTCATTGGTAGGATGTGGCTTACACTTTGGATCGATCCTGACACCATCACCTCTTTCTACAGGTTTTGTGGTATGAGAGTGGCATCCTGTCACCTCCTTGGGCCCTTGGGTAACAGGAGGCGGGTGGGGACCTTTTCAAGGTTCTGAGGTCATGAGGGTGGCTGTTCCACAGGACTGTCTCCCTCTCCCTTCCCACCAGGCAGGGGCATGAGGAAGCACAGCGGACAGCCAGGAGCCACACTGACTCTGCAGAGGCTTCAGTCCTGGGCTGTAGACCTGCAGAACAGAGGCAGCTGTGCTGCTCATCATCAGACAGCCAATTAAGACTGAAATCTGGTCCGAAAGGTCAGGAGCAGACAGCCCTTACCCAGGAGGTCACTGACACGTTCTCTAGTCCCCAAAGCGAGAAAGGAAATTTCCGTTAAAGATGCTACAGTGAACCGCATTTGCATCCTTAACATTCCTTTCTTTTCAAAAAAAAAGAAGAGAAAGAAAGAAAAAAAAACATTTTCTAGCTGCAGAAGTGACTCCATGGTGCGCAGCTCTAAAGAAATGTAGAAATCAAACCCTAAGTCTCCATCAGCTAGTGCTGGCGATGTGCGAGGACAAAAGATTTCGGACAACAGAAATCAAGCCATGGCAACACTCTTACCCCTGGTGGCTTTAGGCCACCCTACAGGGTTGGGACTACAGAAACTGCCAGATGCCCTGGCTGGAGCAGGCCAGCAGGTGCACCAGGCATACACTGCACACTCAGAGACCAGGGCGGGTGTGCCCGGGCCCTCTTGTGCCTGTGGCATCCTCCACTGCATGGGAAGGAAGATGCAGGTCAGCAGGGGAGCTGGGCCCGCACCGTTGAGAGGAAGTGTTTGTCTACGCTAGACAGACTCCCCTCTCGGGCTGGTGTTCAGGTGGGCAGGGCTCCTACACGTGACGTGGCACCCCGTGCATGCCACTGCCCGTACTTTAAAATTCCTCAGATCCAAGAAACGCGAGAAATGTTCGAGAGACCAACAAGATTTAAAGACAAATAGTCACAGAGGAAAAAGGAAGAAGGGGAGAAAAAAAAAAAAAAAAAGCAACAGCAAGATGATGCCTGGAACCCCAGCGCCAGAGTAGACTTCCTCAGGGAAAATGCGGTCTCAGTCCAGTGAGCTGACTCACTGGCCGTGCAAGCTGATGACCCGGTACCCATGGTGGAAACAGAGAACCAACTTTGAAAGTTATCTTTTGACCTCCACAGGTAAGCCATGGCATGCATGGGCCTGGACTCACACAAATAAGGTCCCTGCCCTAACTGCACCCACATAGCTGTTAAAACTGAATGTGCGTAACCAGCTCTCACACTCCCAGTGAGGGCCTCCCTACCTACCACAGCCCTGCCAGGCTGTCTCTGTGAGAGGAAGCAAAGCTGCTACCTGTATCACTGCACACTCAGGAAGAGGAGAGGGATAAGGAAAGAGGGGTTTTTATACTCTATTCTGGTTATTTCTCTTAGCTTGTCCAATTAAAATGTATCACAAATTTGATAAATTTGCCCTCTCGAGTGGCATGCCTCCGCATGGCAGGAAGTAGAAGGCCAATATGGTGCTACGACCCATGCTGAGAGGAAGTTGGTCTCCATACAAAGATACACACAGAGACACAACTGACACGGGACACGCATTCACGAACACACAGTCAAGTATGGTCATGTGGGAGACGCAGGCATACGCACAGATATGGAGCCATGAACACACACGCAGCAACACACAGGGACATGGAGACGTTCCTACACCCCTGAAGAGAACACACGGGGCAAGCACACACGGGGTACACACGGGCCATCATGCCATCATCAGGTACTGCCCAGGAAGGATGCAAGTTGGAGAACAGGGAGACAAGGCCCTCCAAGGGCTCACTGTCTAGCATCAAAGCCCCAAGCTGCCCCGAGGGATATAGCAGCCATGGATGTCTCAGTCCTGTCTCCAACGAACACACAGAAGCAAGACGCCCAACGATCCACCAGACCCAATGGAGCATTCTAAAAGGGATCAGCCACTAACCTGGGCACACACAATCACAAGGTGCCTTACCTGTGCCGTGGGCCTCTGGAGTCCTTCCTGCCACCTCCTGAGAGGAACCTTCAAGAAGACATCCCTGGAAGGAATGAGAAACAAAGAGTCAAAACCCTGGGTCCTCCACCCTCACACTCAGCCTAGCTTCCAGACAGACACGGAACACAAGTCCCTTCCACCTTCTTAGGCTTACGGCCCCAGGCGATGACCTTTCTATACAGGACTACTGGGTTGTGCCCTGTAAAGGAAGCTGGGGAGCAAAGGGAAGCGCGGCTTGGGTTGGCTGGCGCCGACCCCACCACACACAACCACTTCTCTTTTCTTCTAAAAAAAAAAAAAATTCAGGCTAGAGAGGTGGCTCAGAGGTTTAGAGCGCTGGCTGCTCTTCCAGAGGACCTGGGTTCAATTCCCAACACCCACACAACAGCCCCCAACTGTCTACAGCTCAAGTTCCAGAGGATCCAACACCCTCACACAGATATGTATGCAGGCAAAACACCAACGCACATTAATATAAAAATAAACTTGGGAGGAAAAATCAATTTTGCTTGGGCTGTTGCTCTGTAGCCCAGACTAGCTTCAAACTCGGTATCCTACTGCCTCAGCCTCTCCGTTGTTGTGATTTCGGGTGTGCCATGATGGCCAGCCACCACAACGTGAGCCATGTACACTCTTTACCAGACAGAGCAGAGAAAGCATCAGCAGGCTGACAGAAAGCTTGCCTGGCACGCAAAAGGTGCTGCGATCTATCCCCGGCTCTGCATGAACCGGGCATGCTGGTGTGAGTATGTAATCCCAGCACAGAAACGCAATATACTCTGTGGCTACAGAGTGAATTCAAGGCCAGCCCGGACTACACCAGAACCAGACTCAAAAATGAAACCAAGTATAACCTAGTTGCCTTATTCTTTTCAGATTTTTAAAAATGCAAATAAGATTTTATTTATTTATTGTGTGTGTGGGGGGGGGTTGTTCATACCACAGCATGCATGGAAATGCAAGAATTCACAGGAATTGAGTTTCTCATTCTCCCATGTGGGACCCAGGGATTCAATTCAGGTCATTGAGGGAGGCAGTGAGCACTCTTACCATCTTGTCAGTACTAATTTCAGACTTCTGTCCCTTTCCTTAGGAAGCTAAGGAAATCAAGGAAAAACCAGATGACATATTCACAAGAATTAAATGGGTGCTCACCCTCTGTCTTGTTTGATTTTAGGGGGTGCTGGGTCAGAACTCAGAGACTGGCTCACTCTGAGCCAGCAATCTGCCTGAGCTATACCTCAGCCCCTCTCACCTCTCATGGTAGTTCTAAAGCTCAAGAGAAACAAGTAGCCACAGCAGAGTGGTGCCGCTTCTGTAGCTCAGGGGGACAGCGCCCTCCAAGCAGGCTGTCTGAGCCCAGTGTCTCCACACCACCAAGCGCAGAGGCATAACCTACGCCGTGGACAACCAGAGACTGAGAATTAGCAGTAGACGGTTCGGACGCAGGCCACACGGAGCCCAGCCCTGGCTCCCCTCACATGGGAGTCCCACGCCACTCCCGGTGGGAGTCTGCAAACGATACAAGGTACCCCATTCAAATGGTCTCTCCTGTCACAGGGGCAGAAAGACGGAGCAGTCTCCTGGGGTCAAGCTAGAAAACAGTTCAGGGGAACAAAGGAAGCGATTGATACCGGTGGAGGGAGGTTTCGCTAGCAATGTCAAGGCCTAGAATTATGAAATGGCATTCTATAGGAACCCTATATGCTTGTTACTTCATGAATGAAGGAACGGCCAGGGCTGCTCAGTATGGCCTGACCAGACGCCATCGTGGCAGGGCAGGGAAGACAGTGTGGCTACACTGTCTGTGTCCCTCTAACACATATTGACAGCTGGGCTCACTGTACCCACTTCCTGCCCTCCAAGGCTCCTGTGTCCCTATCCAGTTTCTGACCTCAGCCAGCTCCAAATTCAACTCAAAGCAGGCTTCTGGGGACAGCAGCCGCCCAGACCCTGGGTCTCCAGCTTGCGTTCACTGTTCAAACGGTTTTCTTCTGCTTCCTCCACACAAAACCACACAAGTTATAATTAGTCCTCTCAGCCAGTCACCCTACCCCTGGAGCCTCCTGCACGGGTCTAACATGGCACATGAGGCTCCTTCTTAACAAAGCAGCCGCTGGTGGCTTACAGCATGGAGGAGGACACTCCTCAGAGGAGACAAGGCTTTCCATTCTCAGAAGCCAGAAGCCTTCCTTTCTCACGTCTAGGTCAGTAGCTAGGGTGGCCACACATTCAGAAACGACTAGATTGTGGAGGCCGTAAATTCAAAACTACCCCAAAGTCTGGCTCCTCCAAGCTGGGTGGCCTAAAGGAAGCTGCTGGGCCTGTTTCTTCCTTCAGAAGATGAGCTGACCAAGAGCAGCGCCTCAGATGGTCACTGCCTTGCCTTGCAGTTTGAGAATCTGAGGCTGATCCCTGTGAAGAGCGGAATCCTGAGCCTGGTGCCCAGTGAAGCTCTGGCTGGTGAGGGTTAGCTGGACGGCGAGCTTGCTATTGAGACCAGTCACAAAGGCCTCCCTGAGATGGCGCAGCCACGCACAGAAAGAGCATAGCTGCACTCGCTTTAAGGGAGCCCGAAGCACTTTAAGGGGGGGTCGAATGCCTGACGAGCATGTGTGAAGTCTGTGTGTCACCCACACAGTTTAAACTGGCTTTGGTGGTGGGTGAACGCACATAATCCTAGCTGTGGAGGCAAAAGCAAGCAGGTCAGAAGTTCAATGTTATCCTCAGCCAGACAGCAAATTCAAGCCCAGCCCAGGCGAGTCTGACTCAGCCCACTTCCCTATATGCAACAAGGGTTCTGAACCACCGAGTCTTGCAATGACCATAGACTAGGATGTTATATCTTCAACTCCAGAATACCCATCATGCTCAGCGGCTAGTGTGGAATGGCTAGAGCACAGGAAGACGTGGAATGTAGTAGAATCCAAAAATCGCTGGCTTTGTCCCAGGCTATGGACTGTGGGCTTCCTCCTGGTCCCTTCCAGGTCTCTACAGTGAAGGGACCAAAAGCCCAAAGCACCAGTTCTTTCTGGGTTCTGGGGTCCTTCGGCTCTGCTGCTCTCGGACTCAGTTCATGCAGTAGTGATGGATGAACACACACACTCAGAGGACGGGGCCATGGCCAACTGGGATTTGTTTTCTAAGTCCCCAAACCATAAACTGCTACCCTGGCAAATTCCTTTCATCTCTAGCAATTCCTCAGAGATGCACGGCAAAAATTACAAGGTCAGGCCAGCTTGACAAGGGTCATAATCAAGACTCACTAGACAGGGGGGCCTGGGTCAGTGGGAGGTTATCTCCTAGCTCCTTTCTAGGGATGCGGCATGCCCGTGAGAGGGGCTGTCTGTTCTCCCTAACGGCAAGTCCACGCAACCTTAGTTTGTCTCATCATCATCTCTTCTAACTGCCAACTGTTAACTGTCAGGCTGTGTGGGCACCTTGACCAATTAATGGATTCCTGCCTCCCTCCAGGGACCCCCAAACCACACCTCAGCAACTTCACTGCAATCGTATGGTTCTCTCTCCCTCTCCCTTTCTCTCTCAGCATGGCCTCTTAACTCCTAAATACAAGGTATCTTCCTCCTTCCTGCTCCAGCCTCAAGACAATACAAGACAACGAATGTCTGCTTCTTTTTTTGTTTATTTGTTTTAATTTGTTTTTGTTTGCTTTGTTTTTGAGTTAGAACTTCTCTGTGGAGCCCTGGCTATCCTGAACTCTCTCTGTAGACCAGGCTGGCCTCGAACTCAGAGAACCTCTGCCTCCCAAATGCTGGTATTAAAGACCTGTGCCACCATTGCCCAGCTCAGTGTTTCTGCTTCTTAACAGCAATGGAAACAGTCACCTACGTTTTTTTAACTGATACTCAGCATGTGGTCACTGTGGATGAGTGGGCTGATCACCACAGTGAGAGCTGTGAGGCAAGATGGCTACCTCACTCATGGCTGTGACAGGAAGAGCAAGAGCTGTGAGGGCACCAGGTACCCTCTGCCCCAAGACAGTTATGATGCAACTGTTGCCACTTAACAGCTAGAATCTCTACGAATTTCTAGTCTCCAAATACCAAAATGGCCCTTTGGCAAGATGCAACAGGCTATCAAGACGACCCAGCAAGTAAAGGTGCCTACTGACCTCTGACACGAGCTGTGGTACAAAAGCTTGTACATGCACCCTCACAGTACATACACACAGAAGAACACTCTAGAGGCTGGCTCACTGTGATCCACAAATTACAAACAATCCTCCAACTCCCTTCATCCATTCTCTCAAGCCTCTCACAAAAGCAATTTCTTCTTGACTTCCTCTAGCACAGTGACTCTCAACCTTCCTTGTGCTGTGACCCTTTAATACAGTTCCTCATGTTGCGGTGACCCCAAAAGGGTCACGACCCACAGGTTGAGAACCACTGCTCTAGGGAGACACAAGCATCAGGAAACAACTTTAAGTCCATGACCCGGAGAGGCGCTCCTTGCAGCTGCTACTGACACCTGAAGTCTCTGGAGGTGGAAAATGATCTAGAAAGACGGCTCCCATCAGAACTACATTCACTGTGTCCCTGAGGCAGCAGGCAGGACCCAGGAACCAATCTTGCAGTAGGAAATGGAGCCAGGGAGGACTCACCACCATTAGACCAAAGGAAATCCAGAAATCAGAGAATGAGCAGCACACTCCTGCAGCAAAGGAGCGACCCAAGCCTCACTGGCCCACCGGCGAGATCCCCTCTGCCCGGCGGCCTAGAATTCCCGGTATAGAGCACCAGAATCCAGAGCTCTGGGCTGACCTGAAGACCCTGCAGTCTTACACAGGACTGCCCTGCCAGCACACCAGGAATGCCAGAGCGGGTGAGAGGCCCCCTGTTCTGCGCTGTGTCCACTCCGGGATGATTCAGACTGTGAGGCACGGTGGGTCAGTCACAGGGAGCACGAGAACGCCGCTGAGTCACTGGCACCAGACACCAACGTACCATCAACGGCCAGCGGCACAGCTGCTGCAGTGATGCGGCCACAGCTGCAGCTCTGGGGGGCAGGGGAGGGAGATGGACC